GCTTTTTTTTTTTTTTTAACTTTTAAGTTCAGGGGTATATGTGCAGGATGTGCAGGTTTGTTATGTATGTAAATGTGAACACTAAGGTTGATTTTCTGTCTTGGCTACTGTGAATAATGTTGCAGTAAACATGGGAATGCAGACATCTTTTTGATATACTAATTTTACATCCTTTGGATATATACCCAGAAGTGGAATTGCTGGATCATATGATAGGGTAGTTCTACTTTCAATTTCTAAGAGACTTCCATCTAATTTTGCATAATTGCTATACTAATTTTTATTCCCACTAGCAGTATATAGGGGTTCCCCTTTCTCTAAATCCTCATAAATACTATCTCCTGTCTTTTTTTATAATAGCCACTCTAACAGGTTTGAGGTGACATCTTATTATGGTTTTAATTTGCATTCACTGGTGATTGGTGATGTTGAGCATGTTTTCATATATCTTTTAGCCATTTGTCTTCAGGTCCTTTGCCCATTTCTTTAAAAAAAAATTAAGTTTGAGACAGGGTCTCACTCTGTCATCCAGGCTGGAATGCAGTGACACAATCTCAGCTCACTGAAACCTTCTCCTCCTGAGCTCAAGCGATCCTCTCACCTTAGCTTCCTGAGTAGCTGGGACCACAGGTGTATGCCATAACACCTAGCAATATTTTTTTTGTATTTTTAGTAGAGAGGGGGTCTTGCCATGTTTCCCCAGTTGGTCTTGAACTCCTGAGCTCAAGTGATCTGCCTGCCTTGACCTCCGAAGTGTTGGTATTACAGGCATGAGCCACTGAACCCAGCCCCTTTGCCCATTTTTTAATTGAGTTATTTTTTACCTTGCTAATGAGTTACTTGAGCTCCTTATATATTTTGGATATCAACCTTTTATCAGGTGTATGGTTTGCAAACATATTCTTTCATTTTGTAGGTTGCCTCTTCACTTTTTTGATTGTTTTCTTTGCTGCAATAAACTTTTTAGTTTGATGCAATCCCATTTGTTTATTTTTGCTTTTGTTGCCTATGCTTTTGGGGTCATATCCAAAAAATTCTTGCCAAGACCAATGTCATAAAGCTTTCCCTCTATGTTTTCTAATAGTTTATATTTCAGGTCGTACATTTAAGTTTTTAATCCATTTTGAGTTGATTTTGTGTCTGATGTGAGATAAGGGTTTAATTTCATCCTTCTGAATGTGGCTACCTAGTTTTTCTAGCATCATTTATTAAAGAGACTGTACCTTTTCCATTTGTGTTCTTGGGGAATCTCTTGATGATCCCAGGGTTATTACAGAAGATTCCCAAATTATTACAGTTATTGACTGTAAATGTGTAAACTTATTTCTAGGTTCTCTATTCTGTTCCGTTGGTCCATATGTCTGTTTTTATGCCAGTACTATACTGTATTGATTACTATAGCTTTGTAGTAGATTCTGAAATAGGGTAGTTGATGCTTGCCGCTTTGTTTTTGTTGTTCAAGATTGCTTTTGCTATTTGGCATATTTTGTGCCTCCATATTAATTTTAAAATTGTAAAATTTGTGTAAAAATGTCATTGGGATTTTTATAGGGATTACATTGAATCAGTAGATTGCATTGGGTAGCATGGACATTTTAACAATATTAATTATTCCAATCCATGAACATGGGATGTCTTTTTCTACCTCTGTTTTAAATCCACTCTTGGGGTGTAGCTCTGCAGATCTTCCCACTTGTTTTATTCACTGAGACTCTTTTCATTGGCAAATCCTGAACTTTAATCCTTGCCTTCTCAGTACTTTAAGAGCATAAAAATCTACCCTCTGCTCCTTGAAAGATTTCTTCCTAGCTTTTAACTTCCTGCCCCATGATACTTCAGAACTCATGTCTTAAGGGTAATACCAGATGAGTGTTAGCCTTCTTTTTTCATTTCCCTCTTTTTCACTGTGATTTTGGACTTTCTATTTGTTTGTTACCTTGTTGCAACCTTTATCTTCCCAGCATAAGAAGACTGCCAAAATCTTTGCTGGTTTCTCCTCTGCTTGAGAAGTCTGCATTGCTGACTTCTTGCCCTGCTCTCAGAATTGGCAATGCACTAGGGGAATGCCACTATAAAATGTCAGTTCATTCTCTGCTGTTTCCCTCCTTCTCTCAATCCATTATTTCAGCAAGTTCTTATGTATCTTCAAACAGCTTTAAAATTGTTCTTAAAAAATAAGCTTTCTAGTTGTTCTTAGCTCTGCTGTAAGCTACTCCATCATACTCAGAAGTAGAAGTCTCCATTTATATTAAAGTGAAGGACACTTTTATTCTCATTGGAGGAGACGTAGCTTTCCAGCTGAATTAGGTGTGTGTGTGTGTGTGTGTATGTGTGTGTATGTGTGTGTGTGTGTGTGTGTGCATGCATGTGTGCATCTATGTGTCTCTGTAGGATCTGGAGTGCAGTACTTTCTATACAGACATTTATAGGTTTCTACTGACATTCTGTCTATCATTCTGTATTCTGCCTTACCTGAATCCCTAAGATTTCCAAATGTCTCTAATTCCTGAGATTTTCTGGGGCTCCTGAGTTTTCTCTGCTGACTTAAGTCTGGACTTACTTCTCTCTGCCATATCAGTTGCCATTTATCCACTGATTTCCCAGTTACAATTTTTTTAGCGCTTGTGGGCTTTATCATTTTTATCCATTTCTTTATTGTTATTTTAGTGGGTTTCAGAAGAGAGTAGAATAATATTTAACCACAAGTCCAACATTAATCCCTTTTCTGAAAAATTGAAATTGTGTTGTTACACTACTTCTTACATAAGTGGTACTTGATCATCAGAAATGAAATTGTCAAACTGTTAGTCAAAGAAACAGAATGGAATGAGACACTATTTTTCTTTAATTTGATCTCTCAGTTCAAATATAAATTTTACCAGCTCTTAGAAACTGCTGTGCTAAAGTATTTGCTTTTTAATGAAGCTCAAGACATATTCCATTTTTTTCAGGGAAATGGATGAAAGTGGAAGCCATCATCCTCAGTAAAGTAACACAGGAACAGGAAACCAAACACCGCATGTGCTCACTCACAAGTGGGAGCTGAACAATGAGAACACATGGACATAGGGAGGGGAAAACACACACACTGGGCCTGTCGAGGGTAGAGGGCAAGGGGAGGGAGAATATTAAGACCGATACCTGATGCAGGTGGGGCTTAAAACCTAGGTGATGGGTTGATAGGTGCAGCAAATTACCATGGCACATGTATACCTACGCAGCTGACCTGCACATTCTGCATATGTATCCTGGAATAAAAATATAAAGACATTCTGACTTGGAAGGCTGCCACAGGAAATACAGAGGGAAGAGGCTTTCCCCAAAGGACATAATAGTCTCATTTGTAGAATTGTTTCTTAGTATAATAGTCTCTTTTGTAGAACTGTTTCTTAGTATATTTTACTCTATTTTGTAATTATTACAACGTTTTTTCTCCTCTAGGATCCTAGACTGCTAGAGAATGATGACATACGGCTCTCTAGGTATATGCTCCATGTGTCCTAGGAGTATACAAAGGCCTGCCAAGAGGTTTGGAGGATGCTATTCAAATTATTAATGGCTACAGTAAGAATTTGGCTGTGCATTTTTAAAAAATAATTTTAAATTTTTTGTGAATTTCCTTGTTTTGGCATATCAAAATCTTTAACACTATTTCTCTTGCATTGTTTATTCTCCCCAGTACAAAGTGGAAATACACTACTTTATCACTTGGTAGAATATATTATCTGATATGGCTTGGCGGTGTCCACACCCAAATCTCGTCTTGAATTGTAGTTCTCATAGTCCCCATGTGTTGTGGGAACAGTTGAGTGGGAGGTAATCAAATCATGGGGGCAGTTACCCCCCTGTGCTGTTCTTATAATAGTGAGTGAGTTCTCATGAAATCTGATGGTTTTATAAGGGGCCCTTCCCCATTTGCTTGGCACTTCTTCCTACTGACATGTGAAGAAGGACGTGTTTGCTTCTCTTTCCACCATGATTGTAAGTTTGCAGAGGCCTCCTCAGCCCTACATAACTGTGAATCAATTAAATTTCTTTCCATTATAAATTACCCAATTTCAGGTATGTCCTTATAGCAGCATGAGAATGGACTAATGCATTATCTTACTGATATAATGGAAGGGTCAAAATTTGGAAACAAGTACTTCATGTCAATAGACTCTACTTACCCTAGAAGCCTCTGTTTATTTTTTTATTCACACATAATTATTGAGGTCTTACTTTCTGCAAAGCCTTGTCTTAGGTGCTGAGGATATAGCAGTGAATTAAATAAAGTTCTTATTTTTGAAGAGCCTTGCATTCTACTGAAGGATATGGCAATAAATAAATAAAAACATATTATGTTATTAATATGATGTCACACATGCTATAAAGAAAAAGCAGAATAAAAGAATAGGGGGCAGGGAGGTACTTTTTAAAATAGCGTGGTCAAAATAAACCTCCTTAGGAGTAACTATGAGATCTGAACAAAATACAAAAGGACCCAACACATATGCAGTAAAGAAAATGAAAGCCAACAACAAGTCAGTAATCCATCCAGATGACTGCTATACACTGTTTTCATTTTCCTCATTGGCTATATATAGTGAGTCATTTTTTTCTTTGTTCAGATCTCAAAGTTACATGTATTTGGAATCAGAAAAAATTTTTTAACTTGTTTTATTTGGTAACCTAGATCTCAGTTCATCTAGGATGATGTTCTTTAAAATATATATAGCAGGCCAGATATACTGAATTTACAGATATCATTTAAGTTTGGCATCATTGTATTTGCATTGACATTTATTGTACATAAATTCAGTGATGTTTATGATGGAATTTTTGTAGTAAGCAAAATTTAGGCTCCCTTTACCATTTTGTCTATATGAAGAAGTGTGTTAGACTTGGTAGGAGGTATCCTTGAAGTCACTTTTAGAAAAACATTGGCTCTACTGAGTAGAGGATGGGTTAGTTTCCTGAGTTTCTGTACCCCTCCAATGAAAGACCAATAACTTATTACAGAGGCTGCTACATGGTCTTCTCCAGCAGGCTCATGGAAATGCCTACCCTTCTGACCCAGCCACTGGAGGGATTGTTGTACCATGGAGAAGCAGGTTTCCCCCAGTGCTTTGGGAGTGATTCTGTTCAGGGCATTGTCTGGAAAGTATTCATCTTCTTTTCTGAAGAAGTGATGGAGGCAGGTAAGAGACCTCACTTTCCCAGCACGTCTCCTGTTGACTGTGGGCTCTGAGGACGTCTCTGGAGTATGTGTGTTCAGCTTTCTCATTCTCTTTGAAGTCTAGTTATTTGCACTCCAAAGAAGTTAGGATTCTGAAGACTGTCTAGGCTGAATGTGGTTTTTAAACCAAGTTGTTTTCTTTACTATTCAAAAGCTTTGTCTTTGAGAGCATATTTGCCAATAAACTGCCTAGGAGAACTTGTAATGATAACCTAAAATATTACCAGCTCTGTACTTAAATTGCCCTGCTTTTAAATGTGTTTGTCTTGGCTATATTATGTTGTTGAAATAATTTAATATGGCAAGTTGACACTTTGAAGTAAAACATATTTTGAGCAATTGTTTTTTAAAGACATGCAAATGTTTTGGTATCTCTAGAATTAATTATAAGCCTTACCCAATTGATAATAAATGGATAGAAATAAAATTTAAACATGTTCAATCAATTAACTTAGCTATTCAAACATGAAAACATTGAAACATTTCCTTTGAAAATAGTTTAATGATTTATCCATATTTGTACTGCTTTGTGACTTTATAGTTAGAATTTAGTTAATAAACAATGTATGTATTCCATAATTTATAGTATGCACATGGCTCAATTTCTTAAGTGAAGGGGAAAAATTACATAATATACTAAGCTATACTCACTTAAAAGTCAATCCTGTGACTACTGAGACTCTTTTTTTTTTTTTTTTTTTTTTGAGACAGAGTCTCACACTGTCACCCAGGCTGTAGTGCAGTGGTGTGATCTCGGCTTGCTGCAGTCTCCACCTCCTAGGTTCAAGCAATTCTCCTGCCTCAGCCTCCTGAGTAGCTGGGACTACAGGCGTGTGTCACCATGCCCCTGCTAAGACTCTTTACCACATGAGCTCCCCTCTGTTCCTTAGGTCCCTATGAAATAGTAATCGAAAGTGTGCTATGTCTTCTGAGTTATTTTCAGTAATGTAATGTTTTACATGTCAGATCCATATGTAAACAATAAGTAGACAGAACATAAATACACATTTTTATATAATTTGAGTATATGGCTCAAATTTGCAGTAAAGTTTAGTGTGTATTTTTGTGGAGTTAATTGCTCACACAGGGCTTAGAGTCTGTTTTGACCCATTTACTTGGTATAGAACCATGTAGAAACTGCTGGGAACTTTACTTACATGATTATGCTCTGGAATGCTACAGTACATTTCCCCAAGGAAATTCCAAGGACTGTATGGAATACATTATTTTCTCTGCATACAAACTCCCTTCTCTGTCCTGAAGAATATTTTTTGCTCACTTGTGTGTGTGTGTGTGTGTGTGTGTGTAAGGGATAATCTAGAATTCAGTTTGGCAACCTCATATGTAGAGGCTTTTGTTTTTATTTTGTTGTCATCTATTAGGGCATCACTGTGTTGCTGCTGATAATCTATGGAAATGTCATCTATGAGTCTGCATGTGTATGTGTGAGTGTGTGTTGTCCCCAGTAGAAATCCCAGCTGTATGCTTCAGGGACATTTGCCATCCTTATCCTGAGACTCTCCTGTTTGCTTAGTTTTTTCTTAGATCAAACATACACTTGATTTTGTTGGGGATAACATGAATCTCAAAGTTGCTGCTTAGTTGTTCCCTTGTGGGACTCCAGGGAAGGGCCTTATGGACTTTCCCCTTCCGGGAGAGGATGCCCACCTGCTGATGCTTGCTTCTGACCCCGCCTTCTCTTTCCTTTTTGCCCTTTAGCTTCAAAACAGCCCCTCATGGCCCTTAGTCAAGTGCCCTGGGGCTGCTTTTGGAATCTTCAGTCCTTTTACTAGAGAAAGAAATGCCCCTCTCACCACTCCTTTGGTCCCTTCTTGGGTCTTAGAAACTGGGGGCCTCACACTTTTTGTGGGTGCTAGAGGAGGCTCTCCTTCCCTCATCAAGAGGAGGATGGGCTTAGACAGCATGAGTGAGAATGGATGTGGGTGCTCCTCCAATTCCTATTTTTGCCTATCCAATATTGAGTGTTATTGTTGATTCCCTCATGAGTTTCTCAAGAAAGTAAGCACATTATCCTAAGAAGAGAACTTTTTTCCTAATTTCATGTGAGAAAAAGGCAGTGTCTTATGTCACATGACTTTGAGTCTTCCCTCCTATAAAATAATCAGTCCTGCATTATTTTGCAAATGAGTAACTAATTCTTCATGTTCCTGGATTATTTCTCCTGTCTCTGATTATTTTTCCCCTAATAGAATGTAAACTCTATAAGGGCAAGAGTGTTTGTTCTATTCACTGCTCGATTTCAATACCTCGAACAATGCCTAGCACATGCTATATGTCAATATATATTTGTTGAATAAGTGAATATTGTAAGGGTTGCATACTACCTCAAATGGCTTCCTTTTGGGGGCTGTGTGTGTGTAAAGAGATTATCAACTTGGATTAGTTGCTATTTTTTATAATTTTCATCCCCACATCCAGAAGAAGCTTCTAATTTGCTCCCCACTTCAGCACTGATGGTAATAAAAATTGAGTAAAGCAAAGAAACTGAAGGACAGATGATATAAGTAACCTACTTTACTAATAGGCACCTGGTCAGTTTGTAGCACAGTTTGAAGTCCAAGGACTTACCTACTTTAGATTGATCTGGTTTAAATGGGTTATAATATACATTCAGGATCATAACAGCTATTTGCTGAGTAGATATAAGATTTGTCTCTTAAAGCTAATACGTAATTTTAGAAGTATCCATAGCAATAATATCTAAGCATTATATGTGTAACTATTTTTCAGGTTCAAAGCTTACAAGATGCTTCAGAATGTTAAGCATCTGATTTTGTTTTAAACAAGAGTGTTTAATAGAGTAGATAGAAATAGGAAAGACGCTGGCCCTGGTTTACAGACACTCAGCAAAAGCCAGTCATCCTTTGCAGCATGTGGACTTCACACTGGGTGTTGAAATTGTGTTGTGCTGGGGCAAATCAAAGGAAATGGGAATATGATACAATCAAAGAATGGAATGAATGCAGGATTCATTCTGATGAGAAAATGAGCTCTCTGAATCAAACCAGGAAGAGATGAGAGGATTGGGTTAATTTCCTTTCTAGATAATAAATATTGTGGCATAAGGCAGTGAGAGAAAGGACCATTGAGAATGATTACAAAGAAAATTGCTAAGATCCCTATGTCAGTAATTGATCTTAATGGAATTTAATTATTTTATTACCATAATCAGTCACCTCTTATCTTGCTTTTTCTTCCAGTCTACTTTGAGAATTATTAACTCATATTACCTACCTATGGTCAAGAAAAAAACTACTTGATGGCAAGTTTTAATTCTTATTTCAGTATAACTTTGGCAAACTCATTTGTGTGTATTCACAGCACTGGAAGAAAAAAGAGTTATTGTAAAGTGAACTGGGCAGGGGAGATTACTGGATAGGAGTATCCTTGTGTGTATCTTTACTTTCAATTGCTGATATGAGTGCTCTGAAATCACAAATCATGTTCGTTTATTTTGCATTCCCAGTGTCGCTTATAGTACCTATTAACAAGTAGGTAGCTAACAGATACTCATGGAATGAGTAGTAAAAATAACTAACATGATTTTTATTCTTTGTACTATTGTTATTTCTCAGAAGTATGTGTTAGCCCATGTATTTTTACAAATCAAATAGCTCCTTTAATTTATTCTTTATCAACTTATATTGTGAGTTTTGTCTTTCAGATGCTGACATAGCATCTATTAAACGATATCTTTACTATTTCTTAGGGTAGTACGCATCTTAAAGATGAGAAAGCTGGGAATGGTGGCTCACACCTGCAATTCCAGCACTTTGAGAGGCCCAGGCAGAAGGATTGCTTGAGGCCAGGAGTTCAAGACCAGCCTAGGCAATAAGAGGAGACCCCATCTCTACAAAACAAAACAAAAACAAGCAAAAAAAGGTGAGAGCTTATGGCCAAGTGGACTTAGGTTTTGTGCAATTATCAAAGCTGTTGTTTGTTTCTGTTTGGCTTATCTGTGAAAAACTAACGTTTTAATAAGATTTTATATTTGAGGATGGAAAGATTGATAATAACACTTAGGAAATGCTAATATTGTAGTCATTTTCTTTATACTTGCAGTACTTAAAAAATCATGGATCTTTTTGCTATCTAACTAATTGGATTTTTCTTTTTTGAGATGGAGTTTTGCTCTTGTTGCCCAGGCTGGAGTGCAATGGCACAATCTCAGCTCACTGCAACCTCTACCTCCCATGTTCAAGCAATTCTCCTGCCTCAGCCCCCCAAGTAGTTGGGATTACAGGCATGTGCCACCATGCCTAGCTAATTTTGTATTTTTAGTAGAGATGGGGTTTCACCATGTTGGTTAGGCTGGTCTTGAACTCCTTATCTCAGGTGATCCACCTGCCTCAGCCTCCCAAAGTGCTGGGATTAGTGGTGTGAGCCACTGCGTCCAGCTCCTAATTGGATAATTTTGAACAGCCTGTTATTCCCTTCTATATTTTCTTGTTAAAGTTATATACAGATGCTCCTCCAATTATGATGGGGTTACATCATGATAAACCCATCCTAAATTGAAAATATTTTAAGTCAAAAACACACCTTTAACTTAAAGATATTTTCAACTTACAATAGGTTTGTGCAGATTTAACACTATGCTAAGTAGAGGAGCACACAAAGTGTGTATCACTTTTGCACCGTTGTAGAGTCAAAAAGTTTTAAGTTGAACCGTCGTAAGTTCAAGACTGCCTAGATTTGATATTTAAACTAACTTTTTATTTTGAAATAGCTTAAGACTCACAGGCAGTTGCAAAAATAGTACAGAGTTCCTAGTGTACCTTTCACTCAGCTTCCCTGAATGATTGTCAAAGCCAGGAAGTTGATATTGATGCAGTATTAACTCAAGTATACACCTTATTCATATTTTACCTGTTTTTAAGTGTCCTTTTTAGATATATAGTTCTGTAAAGTTGTACCATATATATGGATTCAAGTAACCAA